AAAATAAATACAAACAAATTACATATTTTCACTTATAAAATAATTTTATTTAATCATTTATTTATTTGTTTTTATTTAAGTTGTGTTGTTAATAGTACTCCTATTAGTAACTATAATTCACAAAGTTTGGAAACATAATAACATTACAAATGTTACTTAATTACAACAATGAGAAAATTTTTTTTTCTCTTACTTTATTTCATTTTTTTCATTTTTATTTTGTGTACCCGAAGGGTATCCATATCAGTTTAAGAAATGTTTATCTATAGTATTTGGATGAGGAGTGACTAAAAGTTTCTACATTTTTTTCTTATAAAGCTTAAATATATTTACACTGAATAACAGTCACAATATTTATAGCAGATTTTTTAAAACTTGAATGTTTGTTTGACTTTATATTTGAAGAATTTACTTAGAACCAAAACCACCTTCGTTCTACTACGAATAAAATATCATAAATATAATACTGATAGAAATCATAACTCTTACTTTACAAGTAGGTTGTGTCTGCTTATCCATCATGTATGTAATAAAATCATAAGAACTTAACAGAAAGGAAAACGAATGATCAATGGATGTGAAAAACTTCAAGGTAAAGATTTCCAAGATGTACTAAAAATATAGTTTCAAATATTCAAATCAAAAAAATGCTATACATTTAGCAAGGAAAAGACCTTAAAAGACTGTGGCTTGAATTTCAACTTTACCATAATTCTCTGTATTTGGTTAAATATCAGGTAGTCGTGAAAGTTTTAAACATAGTTTATAAGAAATTGTTTGCTAAAGATAATCCAGCATGAATAAAGATGAAAAAAACATTGCATATGAGTGTGTGTGTTTAAACAATATATCCCGTTATACCTGGAAAGAATTACAATGCAGTATATTCATTTAATAATTATGGATGAGCAATGGTTTTAATGAAATAAAGATTACATTTATGCATTATTTTGTACAAAGAAAACACAACTGCATGTTCTTAGTATGACTAATGCTGTAATGTTCAGACAAATTAAAATGAAACTCATGAAATAACTTCTTGAATTCGTAATTAATGTGTAGAGTATTGGTGTGGAACCATCTTTTGAGTGATCCTAGGTTTTTTAAAGTTTCAATAATGTTAAAAAAATAGTATTTAGCCATAATAGAGAACCACAGAGAATTTTTCCCCCTCCAAATTGTAAAATGTTGCATAATACTTAATCAATATCTTCAACTATTCACACAGCAGCATTCAAATCTGTAATTAGAAAGTCATTGTAAAAACTTCTTTTAAGCCATTTTTAACACTAGAATAACATTAATGAAATCAAATACTGACTTTATTGGCTGCTTTCTGTTTCAGTGAATTATATTGCATACAGAGAACTAGTTTATCACTGACTTGATGAAATTCAAATAACTTGTATATGATGATATAATGGTTATAGATATGGATTGAAACTACAGGGTGATTATAAAAAAAAACTCTTACATAAAATGATTATATCTTAAAATTATTGTAATAGGGGAACTGAAATTCACCAGACATATTGAGAATCATAACCTTTTTTTTTTCAAGGAAGTTTGGACATTATAACAGAGTTTTTAAGAATTTGTCAGTGTCCAATACGTTTTTCATCTTGATTAATCAGAATATCAACCTTCTCACAAAATGAAACTATTTCAAGTGTCATCTGTTCAGGACATTGTTCTTTGCAATATCCTGCATACTGTCAAGCATTTTCTTGAAATCACTAATTTCATAGTTTCTGAAAAGCATGATTTAAGTATCGATTATGATATGATTTTGAAACACAATGTAACATGCCCAACCTTTCCAGAAGAGAATTTGTGATCCTAAATATTTTCTTTATCTGGGATAGGTAGTTCATTGTTTTACATATGAAGTTTTGTTTATAATTACCCTGTAATATACATGTATAGTAGTACACTGAAGTAAATAATTTTAGAATAGTATAAAAAGTTTTTTAATCCAATGATGTGACATGTAGTTCTTCTCAACATCAGATTGTTTTAGGTGATTATTACTTTATTATGCCCACTTCTATATTGTCTTACTGTTGTACATTTCTGAGATGACTAAATATTAACATTTTAATAACACAAATAAACAAATGTACTAAGAAGTATTAAAATATGAAAATACAAAAAAAAAGTTAAAATCCTCTTTGGAATAGTGATGTATATGTGAGGAATGTTTCTTAAAATTATCCTGAAGAAGGCTTAACTGAAACATTATTCCTGTTTCTTTTTTTTTGCAGTAACTTTAACCATTTTTTTCATAATTAAAGGTTTTCATTTCTGCATGTTAATTTGAGCAGATATTTGTTTTGTCTATTTTAATTTTTTTGTCTCACCACTGCAGTAGATAAAGTTCTTTTTTTTTTTTGTAAAGTAACATTTTTATAGTGTGCACAAATGACACACCTGGCTACAAATTATAACCAAAAAAATATTTATTCTCCTGAAACATATTTAGGAATGTCTTGATTTAACCAAGATTTATAAAATACTAGTATTATATGTACAGTATGTTTTACAAAAAATTAATTTTGTTTAGATGTGCTAATTGGATTTTGATGTTTGGGATTATAAACAAATACTGATACATGTTTTCCAAGTTTCATGTTTTTCCATATGCTGTTAGTGGATTTACAGGTTTTTTATTATTTGTAGGTTGGTCTTTAGGAGAACATCAAGAATGGTCCAAGTTCAGTAACTTTGAAGTTGCACTTCGGGTACCACTTCTCATATCCATTCCACATATCACAGATTTAATAGATGGGTTTCGGCAACCATTTAGCTATGTCCCAGTTATGCGTAACACATTTGAAAAAGAAAATAACTCCACGGTAGCTCTTAAAGAAAGCTACCGAGAAGTCAATGAGCTAGTCGAACTTGTTGATCTTTATCCAACCTTAGCTGAACTTGCAGAGATTCCTCTTGTTCCTCTGTGTCCTCTTATTTCAAATGAAACAGACTTCTGCACAGAAGGCAGCAGTCTCAAGCCTCTGATTGACAAAGCTGTGTATGCCACTACATCCTTGGAAGATTCCATCTCATGGAAGAGTGCTGTATTCAGTCAATATCCAAGACCATCAGTGCAGCCAATGAAAATTAGTGATTCACCTGAGTTAAATGACATCCATATCATGGGTTATACCATGAGAACTGATAAATATCGTTACACAGAGTGGATGGATTTTGATCCAAAAACACTTAAAGCGAATTGGACCAGTGTACATGCACAAGAACTGTACCTCCATGAAGATGATCCATTAGAAGATCATAACAAAGCAGGATTCCGTGAGTACAAAAAATTAGTTGCCAATCTTTCAAAACAATTAAGAGAAGGTTGGCGAGCAGAACTTCCCAAAGTGCAGTAAATACAGTTTAGACTGAAATATTAAACTGTGAACATAGAATAAAAGTAAATTAGGTATAGAGTTTTTTTGAAAATGTTTTTGTGTTTATGCAATTTTAATGATGTTGTTAAACATTTATTGTTGTTTGTTTCAGGTTATAGTGTTTATTAAAAATATTTTTTTTTGTCAGATATTTTTTGATTTTTTTATACATACACCATGAACATTGAAGCTTGCTATTTAATAGTCATTCACATACAGTGAAGATGAGAAATGACTTTCTTTTTCTGTTGTAGATCTTAATTTTAATTCCATTTTTGTTATTGGTATGATTAACATGCTCTCATGGAAGATATAACAGTGTCAGAAGGTTTTATCAAACAGTTGGATAGTGAAACTATTTTACAAAAGAAAGTATAGTTGAAAAATGAAAAGGTAGGCGGTTTAAAGGAAAGATTAAATTTATAAAGCTGTGAAATATTTACAATCTGATTATTTCTTTTAAAAAATGAATTACATAGTAATTATAAATTAATTCTTTTAACAGAAAGTAACTTAGAATTTTTATTTTACAACAATTGTTAAAAATTGGTTATAGTTTGTAATAAAAACAAATTATGTAAGTTTAAAAACATTCATGTGTGTGTTAATATTGAAAAATATTCTAAGCTATTGTGGTTTGAACATTTTTTAATATTAATATCAAAAATCAAGAAATAAATGTGTGAGATGAAAATTTTATGTATGCATTCTTTTCAAAATTCTTGTGATTCAGAAAATTTATGTTTAAAATGCTCTTAAAAAGGGCACAGAGAGAACTTTTGACTTAACTGTGTCTGTTAAGAGATTCATTAACTCCAGTTGTCTGAAACTTTTTAGTGTAAAGGAATATTGGTTTTGTTGTAATGTATTTACCTATTAATTATACGTTTTCATTATTTTGAATTTAAAAGTTAAGATATAGGGAATAATAATATTGGCCTTTTTTTGGCATTATGTTATGAATTGTGTTTTGAAATTTTTGTCTTAAGTTTCTGACTTGTTTACAGTAAGTGATATATAATGTTATTGATTTTACTGACTGCATTTATTTTGTTCTTACTGTTAATTTGTAGAAGTTTTCAGTATACACTGTATATCTATGCTTGTTCTTTTGTTTTCCATATCATGTAGTGTAGTTGATTTTATACATTTGTTGACACATAGTGGACTACCACAGACATAAATTGAAGCTAAAGGACCATAAATTAATCCAAGTATTTAAAAATATGTAAAAAATTGTTAGAACTTTGGAGAATGTGATTTAATGGCATACTTCTTTATTAATTATTCATTCTCTCTCTATGACAATATATTGTTCGTGTAGTTGAAACACACATGCAAACGTTTTAAGCACTCATTTTTTTCTGTAGCAAAACACATCTATTCATATATCTGTTTGATAAGTACTTGTAACTCACAGCTTAGTTGAGAAACAGCTTGTTTGACAGCTTACTCTGTTGTACGTTAAAGAAAAATGTTTCCAATTTATGCCAAAGACGTACCTGAAGAAGTGTTTAGTTTTTTTGTACACTACACTTAATTTTGTAGATGAATTCTAGATTCTTGCATCTTTCTTTGGAGAAATTGTGTGAATTGTGTTTCTTGTTAAATAACCTGAGTTTGTTGTTTAAAATAACTTTATTAAACTAGAATAAGGAAGGAAATTAAACAAAATAAATTATTATAATATATATATATATATATTTGTATTTGAACATTTTTGCTAGTCATAAGTCATTTAATGCTGCCTGAAAGAATTGTTTTTTCCTATGTTTGTGTAGTGGCAGGTCTGCTATATTTAGGTCTGAGTCTTTTTAGTTCTATTGTGATTAACCATATCTGAAATTTTGAACCACATTTATGTCTTATGAAAGAATGCATGAATGAGGATAGCGTTTTTTATTTCAGTTTAAATATAATGTATGTACTATTTTGTTTTTTATGATGTACTGTTAAGTAGCTATATATTACAAATATTTTTCTTCCAGTGTTTACTTTCTCCAGGAAATGATAAATTTTGTTAGGAGCAACATATTAAAGCATTATAAGAATGTTATTTCATGGCACACATAGGTATTGTGCAGGAAAATGGGCTTAACTGTATAAACTGTACATCAAAAAATTTGATTCTTAAGACCTGATTTGTCACTGTCTACATCATAGTGTGAAGTATGAAGGTTTTTTCTGTCCATTTAGGCTTATTCTGGATATAATGAAATACTCATGATTTTGAAGTGACGCTGGTGTATTTTGAATTTTGCTATGTTAACATGAACTACATGTAATTTATACCTGCCATCAAATGTTAATTGAAACAGATGTGCATACAGCTATAGGTACAGAAATACTCTATATTTTGATATGATTAAGTTTAAGATGTGTTAATATTTACTTTCACAAAAATAAAACCACTTGCCTTAAATTGTTCTGATAACCAGTTGTTGCAAAAACTGTGTTCGTTGTTTTTCTTACATCTTTGTTTAGAAAATGAACAATTTGTTAATATATATGAAAAATCTGTGACTTGCACTCGTTTTTTTTTATTAATTAAAGAGGTGACTGAATGTGTTTTATATCTACTCCTGGCTTCTGAAATGGATCTTAAGATATTCTATCTTTACCAAAGTTTCAGCATCTGCTGGTGAACTTAAAATTGTTGATAAACAGTGATATTCAGTTCTTGCAAAAAATTCAACTTGCTATCTAAGATAAGCTGTGAAAAACGTATATGAATGGCTTGAATTGTATGAAAGAAGCCCAAATTTAATAGTAAATACTCTGCAATTTCATTATAACAAAAAATTGGATAAAAAGTTTAATGCAAAAAATATTATTGAAATTTGTAAAATATTACACAAGACAGAAATGTGTTTATGCTTTAGGTTGTATTCTGTTGACCTCAAGGTTATTTTATTGTAAGAGCAAATTTTTATTTTCTTGTTTGGTTTCTAAACTAATTTTCAACCTTTAACTGATTTAATAATTGTTCTTTATTCCTCGTTGCTTCCAACTTATTATTCTATTTATCAATAATATAGACTGTATGATTTTGAAAGTATTTGTAATCACTTGACTACATATATATCAGTAAATCTTGTCAATGAATAAATCTTTTAACAAAACTATTTTGGAAAAAAATATAATATATATATACATACAATATATTAAATGATGGGCCAGTGTGAAACATCTTTATTTTCAATAAATGCATGAATGTCCATACTTTGAAAACGTCTTTGTTTCTTTACTACTTTTTCTTTTATTGTCTATAGAATCAGGATGAAGCTAAGTCTACAAAACGTGTATTTTAAAGAACTTATTTTTGATGATCAACCATAAAAATATGTTTAATTTAGTGTATGAATTTCTATAATGAGCCCCCCAGTGGCACTGCAGTATGTCTGCGGACTTACAACGCTAGAAACCTGGTTTCGATACCCGTGGTGGGCAGAGCACAGATGGCCCATTGTTGCTTTGTGCATAAATTCAAACAAACTAAACTAAACTTCTATAATGATGTATCGTACAGTGTTTTTATTTTTTTATCATATAAACACCAACAAATAAGTATGTAAAGCTGAAATAAGATTGCTAAAAACTGAATAACTTTGAAAAGTAATTCATGAATTATATATTTTTGATGATGAATTTGTGTTATAAGATAAATATTTGTCTGGTCACAACAAACTTGAATATGAACAGTAATAAATACTGGATGGCATTGGGTGCTTACAAGTCAGTTAATTTGATAAATCAGCATGGTACAAAGATGAACCATTAAGGCAGATTTTGTAACCTTAATTATACATGTTTTTATTTATGGGTCAAATTTGTTTTTCAAATGATGAATTCTTGTAGAATTCTGCAGTCTAATATTTGTGTTGCTACTATACTTTTAACATTCCATCTTCAAACATTTTCCTTTTCATCACAAGTACCATCAATGTTACAGCACTCTAAAAAACTTTGCAGACAGAAGCTGTTCCTCTGATCCTTTGCTCTGTCTCCCTTTTCAGTTCCAGGTACCAGATTACTGACCCTATATGTGCATAGCACCCCATTACACCTCTGCTTTCATAACACAGTCAAAGACAGTTGGGTATTCTGACTGTTATGCTATAAAATCAGAGTTTTCCTTACTCGAAACATGGTTGCATTGAATTTTTTGTGCAGAATAGCTTCTTTTACTACTGGCTTAAACATACATACAACTATTGAAAGTCCAAGATGACATTACCTGCTTCCTTTCAGTCTTTTACCATATGAACGTTTTTCAGACTTAAGCCTTTGGACTTGTAATCTGTTGGAATGTGATGGGTTGTTTCACCAGTTCGAGTATGTGATGTATGACTGCAGTATCAGCTTGTGTTTTATGTGACATAAGGTGGAAAGCAGTTGCAAAGAGCACTCAGTTCTCACAAAAGGAACTGGCAGGTTGGTAAATACAATGTCTAGTCGCTTGCATTACTTTATGCTTATTGATTTTACTACCCAGTTTATCTTTGAGACAAACCTTGAAAAATACAGTTGTTGTGTAGGATTCTAGTTTCACCTCTTTTGTAGAAAGAATGGCATTTGAGTTCTAACATTCATTTTATGAAGGAAATTCAATGCATTTCCAAACCTCTATTCATAATAGTCATGTCATGTGATTGGGTCCAAGTGCAACTGATTGCAGCACCATTACTTCATCATCAACAAGATATGAACCAAAGATCAACTTAATGTACCCATGAGTGAAGACAACCATCATTTGTTTGACTAATGGTCATTGTTTTGTTCCTGAAACGTATACTTGACAGTCCTTTTCTGTATATACATGTAAGTGCAATCAAACATTAAGAGAGTGACATCATTATTCCCTAAAGTTCTCTGCAAGACTCGTATTATTATATATAAATTATTGGTAGCACATGTGTTGTAATCCAAAATACAGGAGGAAAAAAATGCTCATCAAAGCATAATGAACTGAGCATATTGCTCTCTGTTATGGTAAAAGTACGTTTGGCATGACTATTGCCTGTTAATGAGTTGTTTCAGTCGTAATTATGACTAGTACAGTCTTGTTTACCAAATGATGACCAGAAGTAGGATGTGGAAAAGGAACTTTAACTTGCATCACTGTAATTAGTTTCACTGTCCTATGGATGGGATCATCAGAGGCACGTCATTTGGAATAATGATAATAGTTTTAATGTATTTTTATACAAGTGGCACCATATTTGGCAGATGTTTTCTCTTTTGAAGGTATATTTTTAGTTCAATGTTTGGTTACCCTGATGTATGTCTTCTTCCTTTAGATACACTTCACATGGCATACGACACACTTGTATTTCTTCAGCATGAATGAAAAGTGTACCTGTAATTTTACTTCAGTGTGATTCTTCAAAACCATTCTGTAAGGAAGGTAACAAAATATTATTGATGTCATAACTATAAACGTGTCTTAGTTTCATTGAATTTTCTAATTTCTAATGTGTAACCATGCAGTACCACGAGTA